CGCCTTTACATCTGCATCGGATCGCCTTTGTTCATAGATGATTCGTCCAGGAACGTACGTGAACATTTACACCCCTTTCAGGGTTTCTACATCAAGTGTTATTGGGTGGTGCTCAATGCGTTATATTTGAGGATCTTGCTTTTTCCTATGTGCATGTTGAAGTCTACTACTGCTACACTATTTGTTTTGACCTGAATTTGTTGGTGTGTGTGGATAGAAGTGTTAGGTCATCTGCGAAGTCCAAACCATGTAGTTGCACACAACCTGTCTATTTTAGTCCGTACTTCCCTGAGTTGTGGAGGTCTTCATAACTAAGTCATTTACCAGAAAAAGAGAAAAGGGGAGAGTAGGCAATTTTGTCTGTACCGATCTTCACTTATATGCGCCTGTCAGCTGTGCTCCACCCAAGACTTTGCACTGTAGTCTGTCGTATGAATTCCGTATGATGTTGATTATGTTTTCAGGTATACTAGAGTGTGAAAGAAGTTTCTATTATGTTCTCCTATCCACACTGTCAAATGCTTTTTCATAGTCCAGGGTTGATGTATGGTGACGAGTTCCATTCAGTTGATTTTCAACGATGATCCGTATTTTCGTGATTTGGTCTGTGTACTAACGATCCTTACAGAATTTGACCTTTTGATCTCGAAACTGGGCATCTAATAAGTCTTTCATCCGGTTCAGCAACACTTTTGAAATGCTTTCTTTATACTGACAGTGGTGTGATGCCTCCGTAGTTCTCGCATTTGCTCAGATCTCCTTTCTTTGAAATCTTGATGAGGTGTCCTTTCCAGGCCATCGGCACTTGTTCCTCCTTTCATATCTTCCTGAATAAAATATGGAGCATGTTTGAAGTTGCTTCCAAGTCTGAATACAGAGCTTCAGCTGATATATAGTCAAGTTCTACTGCTTTCTCACTCTTGATTTGCCTGGTGGTTATCCCGATTCCTTCTATCCTTGTTGGAGTGACATCTATTGGAAGATGTATGTTCTGCTTCGATATCCGGTGAATTCAATGTAGCTGGTCTATTCAAGAGTACCTCGAAGGTATTCTTCCCATCTGTTCCTCTGTTCTTGAATCCCAGTGATTGGTTTGCCTTCTTTGTTTTTGACTGGTCTTTCTGGTTTACTATATTTCCCTGCAGGTTGCGTTGCTGTGTCATGTAGTTGATTCATATTTCCTTCTCTTGCAGCTTCATCTGCTGTCGTTGCCAGGCCTTCCACATATTTCTGCTTGTTTGCTCTAATGCTTTTCTTCATCACCTTGTTTGTTTCTGTGTATCAGGCCTGTGCCTGGTTTTTCCTGCTATTGCACGGCTGTTGTTAATTACTGTCTTCTTGTTCTTCCTTTCTTGAATCTTGTCCAATATTACCATAGAGGTCCATTACTTATGCCCAGCACCTCCTGACACGCTGAAGTTGATGCTTGTTTGATCCCTTTCCAATCGTCCTTCATAGTAGTTTCTTCTTTCAGTGGATCTTGTAATTCTTGGAACTTAGTGTTGAGAGTTATCTTGAATTCGTTGAGTCTGTATGTTAAAGAAAGGCTGTATTAGACCTCTGTAATGCTGTTTTTCCTAATTTGCAGTGTTTCTTTAGCTTCAGTTTCATCTTGGCAATCACAACCAGGTAGTGATCTAAAGCCACTTTAGCTCCTCCTCTGGTTCTCTCGTCTTCAATTATCCTTCTGGATTATTTTAGTGATACAAACATGATCATTGTTGTTCTGTGTAGTGCTATCCGGTTAGACCCTTATAGCTTTGTGTATGTGTTTGTGTGGGAATATTGTGTCATCTATAAACATTTTGTTGAAGGCACATGAATTTGTAAATCTCTCGCTATTTTCGGTCTCTTCCATGTCGTTCCATGATATCTTCATACCCGGTGTTGTCCATTCCGACTTTGGTGTTTAGGTCTCCAATCAGAATGGTCAGATCCTTTCTTGGACACTTCTCCCTAATCGATTGCAGACCCTCGTAAAAGTGATCTTTATCGTCGTCGTTGCTATCAATGGTGGGTGCATAACATTAGATAACACTCATTGTGATTCCCTTCTTCTTTGTTTCTAATGATGCTTTGATATTCCTAGATCCACGAGACTCCCACCTAATCAGTGCATTTCATGCTTGTTTGGACAGCATGAGAGCAATTCCGTGAGTGTGCGAAGCATGTCTAACGAATCTATCCTTTGTTGTCCACCTTGGGTTCAATGTGTTTCATTTATTCCGAGCATTGTCAGGTTGTATCTACTCATTTCTGTGACTGTACGGTTGATCCTCCCAGTCTTCCACATTGTCCGTGCATTCCATGTACCTATATTAATTGATGTCCAGGTTGTTAGAATGGGGATCAGCCTCGTGACTTCCGAAGAATCTTGGCTTTCACGATGAGGCGTCATAATTCTCCCTTGAACTCGGAGGACAGAGTTTAAATGTTTTAATTTGTTTATTCCGGTTGGCGTTTTTCGGCGAGGTTTCTTTCTACGGGATGGGGTTGCTGACCCCATACCCAACCCTCCTCTACTCGGTCTTGGGGTCGACAGCAACCCTAGAAGAGCTACAGGCGGAGTTGATTATGCACGATGAGCAGTGATTGATGGCGGCTAGCATTCAAATTCAGGACACTTGTTTCGTCCTGTCTGGGACTCGTCAGCAGAAGCTATCCGCATCTCACAGCTGATGTTCACTCCAGGACTGGAACTTAGTACCTTTCTCTTCAAATGTCATAGCGTTGTCCACTCAGTTACTGAGTTCAAATAGCTACTAAAAGATCCAAATAACCATTATATAGGAATGTAAATTCAGTCGTTGACTATCTGGACTCAGTTTTAAGTGGATAATTCGACGGCGTTTGAAGCAAAAGGTACTGGGTACGAGTTTTTGAGTTAATATTATCTCGGATGAATGTACATTTAGCTGACGAACTTCAAATAAACAAAATGTGCATTTTGGATTCCACTGCTAGACACCAACCGTCTCTTTACAAAACCATATTGTATTTAAAAATAGTTGTCTTGGGTCTTTTAAAAAAGATTTATGATATCAAGGCCAAGTTGCTTGTTCCAAATACTCTTGCTCTTTGCACTACTTTGCCTTTTTACGATGACAGTACACAACAATGACTTTCCAAGCGCCTGTTTAATTGGGTCATGCCACACAACCAAATAAAGTTCTTATAATATATGAGGAATTACAATCGAATAATTTTGGCAGTGTGTATAACTGAGACATGAGCATTGTAATGAGGTGAAAAATCTCTAGCTCAGTTTTAGTGACTTTCACACATACGTGTTTTGTTACTCACTGGTTTTGGCACTCATGTTTCGATTGGCGGCTCATATGTGCGAATTCATCCGAAATTATTGTAGTTCAGGTAGCTATCTTGCATCAGCAACCATTATCATTATCAAGATGCCGGGGTCATAACCTAGGATACGGATCTGTCATATTTAACTTTTGGCTTATTTTCTTTACCTGTATTTCGGTATTGAACTTTCTGACAATAATATTAAGCGAATAAATACGTGAACGAAAAAAGAAGCAAATTATGTAGGATATCTTGGAATATTATATATGTGTAACTTTGCTGAATGTTTTCAGCTGACTGTATATTTAAATAAAACCAGAACAAATATAAATGTAGAATAATATAAATTCATTATATTTCATGGTTTCTCATCAACTGCTCATGATCAAATGTGTTAAAATTTTACATTGAGGTAAGATATAATATGAAACAATTGACATAAGTGAATGAAAAGAATTGGAATTACAAAAGTTATTAATAATAACTATATATATATGTTGTAAGCAGCCGATAAGAAACCGCGAAATATAATGAATCCATATTATTCTCCATCCATGTTTGTTCTGAGGCCCAGGACAGAGTGGGTTGGAGAATGCTGGCCGGCGGCCTATGTTCCATTAGGAGTAACAGGCGTAAGTAAGTAAAGTAATTGTTTGTTCTGGCTTTATTTAAATTCATAAATGTAATTAATTACATGACTGTATATTGTCAACTTTACTTAACCAGTCATATGGTTCAGATACTCTACATTTATTCCAAAATATGTATTATATAACAGAAAGTCAATTCAGAAATAATATTTCATCTATCTACCGGTGTTTTTGCTCTTAATTTATCAATATATGAGCTTCACTTTGGGTTTAGGAGTGACGAGTTTTGGGATTTAAAACTTCATTGTCAGATTAAAAGTCCTCATCTAAAATAAATAAATAAGTAGTGGAGACTAATTTTTTTAGTTACTTCGATTATTAGTTGGGTGCCAACGCTTATATATTATTTGGAAATGAATCACTAACATCTACTGTTTTTAATTTTTAGACTTTAGTTTTATTGTTAATAGAATCCTGATGGTCGATCTCAGGATGTCGAACTTCTGAGATAACATGCCTCATGCTTAGAAACAAGTAGTTAGATTTAGTGCTGGATATACTCACCATCTATTTTTTGTCAATTTAGAGTTCAATCTCAGTACAAATAAGGCACTATAAAATACTTAATATTACAGATGAGGCTATAGAATAAAACGTTAAACTCTTAAAGGGAGTAATATTTACATCGGAACCACTTAACTTGGTCTTGATGGATTCTTTTCTCATCCGTATTCATTGTATTTTAACAGTTAACCAGATTTCCTTGCTTTTAGTGTCAATATGTTTGGTAATATTTCAATGTATGAAATGCTTCTAGATCCTAGGTCAACTAAATCAATCTCTTTCTATTTAACTAGTTCTCGGTAAAAGATGTTTCTTGGGTTAGAATTTTTTTAGCGAGTTATTTTTCTGCGGGATGGGGTCGCTAACCTTATCCCCAACCCTCCTTTATCTGGGCTTGAGAACGGCAGTAGCCCCAGAGGGGCTTCAGGCGGAGTTTGTTTTTTGGGTACTCAGCTCAAAAGATGGTCTATGTGTATCTTATCACTTTGAAAACTTTTAGCCGGTTTTAAATATGTAATGACTTCATGTCAGTTTATGAATTGTTGGTATTTTCATTGTTCAGGTTTTTTTAACAGAAAAGTAAATATCTATTCATATCATGGATGAAGTTTGTTCCACTCAACCTACTGACTTTATAAATAATGATGTAATCAGTAAACCAATGGATAAGGTATTCACAATGCATTATGGTTATGTTTGATAAAAATCACAGGTTCCTGTTTTATGTGTTTATGCATCTGAAAAGAAAATTATGGAATATCCACTTGTGAAAAGTGAGTCTTCACCGTTTTTTCAAATATTTAATCGAATCCTTGTTTAGAGTATGTAACTATTGGGCGAGATCCAAAATGTGATATATGCATTAAATCTTCAGCGAGTGATTTTCTCTCTTTTTTTTACTATTTAGAACTACTTTTTAAAGTACATATTATTAATACTTGTAAAGAATTGAGGAGTTAATAAATAATCCCCTTTGGGCAATAGTCTTCGAAGATATTGTTGTCCAATCAATACACACACTCGATAACTGAATAAAAAAGAGCATCAAACGCAAATGACCAGTCAGTCAGCTACAACGTAAGACCAGGCACATATATGCATCGGTCCAAGTTGCTATACCTAATTAACACAACAAGATGAACACCGGATTCATAAAAGTAGTTAATTCAGTTGTGGTAATATATAAAAGAAAGATCGCATATGAGGGTATATTACAGGAAGTAATAATTAGTTCGTAGAGAGAAAGATATGAGGCGATTTTAATCTCATAGTCTAAGGGAAGATAGAGAGTGTATACATCGACGCCATTGTGATCGATTCTGAGCCATGTCACCAAGAATCTCCAACCATTGGCTATCATAGTCGCGCGGTCCACAACCAAGTAGTCAGCATCTACCAACCTGTCTAAGACTAGAAGACAGTGACTTCAAACACTGATGCCACGTTTTGGTTTGGCCGCCCCTAACTTTCTTCCAACCATCCCCAACACTGGTCAACATTGCGCGTCCTGGTAATCCGTGTTCAGGTAAATGACCAGACACCGAGTTTAAAAAAGTTAGTAGTTTTTAAAAGTATTTTTTATTGATATTGTAAACTAGATCATTTATTTATTTATTATTAGCTTTATTCAATGTTATATTTCTGGTGCATTATAGAATTCTCAGCACAAACTATTTCAACAAGTTTCCGTTTCTTACTTCTTAATCGATATTGACGGTAAATATTGAATGATCGCCAGTTAGAAGTTAGCAATCCAGTCAATCGACATCGAAATAATGTACATTCTGTTCACTGCATATTACCAGCAACCATGATATCTCTGATTGGGCTTTTTGTAACAACGAAAGGTTGTGCACTTTTCAAAAACGCACTTGAATAGGTTATGCGATTAATAGCCATAATGATGTATTAAAACAAACAAGATTAGATAACTTATTGAAATATCTAGATGGCCGAAACAGGTAGCTCAGATGTTCAAGCAGGCCGCCAAGATATGTAGCATTCAGACAGATGACTAATAGTAATAGCCGTTGTTTAATGAACGAAGAACTGGTTGGTGTAAACCATTTTACTGTATTATAGAAAACCATACCTTGTTCCTAAATTATGAAACCAACACATTAGATACACTATTTGCCTTTCTTGAGGTGTATCTCACAAAATCCATCGTTCTTTCATTCATGTTGTTATTTCGATTACTTTCCGTTTCCATTTCTCTCCATTTTCCTTTTCTGTCCTCAAAAATTCTACTTTCAGTTCCCGACATATACTACTTATATTCGTCCGTACACGTAGTACACACCACATTAGTGGCAAAACGTACGAAAAGTGTGATTTAAAAAGGAAAGATGAAAAGGCTTATATGGAAACTTAGAGTCCAAGGGAAGCCTAATGGGAAATATATTTGCTCTCTTCCTGTAGATTGTCTCCGACCCCTAATCGTACGAGAACAAAATAAAGAAAATGGGTTTAATTTGTTTTACTTGAATTGTAATCGTTAGTTCATACTATGCGAAAGAAATATAGGACTACATTAACCAACGTTTAAGATGCATTATTATAATAATTGAGGGTTTATCACTGTTCCTGTAAGCATGGTGGTCACATTTTGCTTTTTGATAACATATGCTTTTGATAATTTCAATGAACTTGAAATATCTAAATTATTGAGCAGCCCAAATACAGTTCCCATGTTTGAAATGTAACACGTGTTGCGTATGCCTGAACACCGATTACCACGACGTGCAATGCTGACCAGTGTTGGAGACGGTTGGAAGAAATTTAGGGGTGGCCAAACCAAAACGTGGCATCAGTGCTTGAAGTCACTAACTTCTGATGTGAGCCATGTTGGGAGATGCAGACTACTTGGTTGGGGTTCGCGTGACTATCGTAACTAATGATTGGATACTCTTGGTGACATGGCTCAAAATCGATCACAATGGTGTAGGTGTATACACTCTTTGTCTTTTCTTAAACCGTATAATTAAAATTGCTTCATATCATTCTTTCTTTCTGTAATATATCCTCATATGCTATCTTTCTTTAATATATTACCACCACTGAATGAACTACTTCTATGTTAATGAGGTATGGCAACTTGGACCGATGCATATATGTGCCTGGTCCTACGTTGTAGCTGACTGACTGACAGTTAAAACTAATATTTCTGACTTAAACACTAGTTTACGATAAGTTGCTCCATTTAGCTTTTGTTTGAGCATTTGAGTCTTATTTATTTATTTATGTTTGAAATGCTAGACAAACTGAATTGATTCCTGTTTTCAATGATGTCTTTTCAAGGCATCGAATTGTAAAACCTTTAAAACTTCGATAAGAGAATCGTGAATAATACAACTATTCCTTTATTTTTCAACACCATCTGATGAACTCTCATCCACTCTGCTTTTTTTCTACTTAATCTCAATATTATTAAATACTATAAAATGTGTTGATGCAATAGGCAATTTTGACAAGTTGAATATATTCATCTTGTCAAAATCGGTATAACAGGTTCTCATTACTGACTAACTGAGTATCTTTACTATTTTCATGAATACTTTTTCTAATCTTATCTTTACTTATGGTTTTGGTTTTTAAGGATCTTATATGCATTCATATGATAAAACTTACTATACTTTTTATTTATTTATTTAGTTACTTTCAAGAGAACATGCAATATTTGAATTAGATGAAAATTATATTTGTACTATAACAGATCTTGGTTCATTAAATGGTACAAAACGTAATGATTTACATTTGAAACCTAAAATAAATTATGAATTAAGAGATGGTGATTGTTTGTATTTTGGTGGGATTTATTGCACTTTGAATTTTTGTCTTTCTTCATCTACATCATCGTTATGTCTTCTTAATCCACTTCATGAAGATTCAAAGTCACTTGAACTATCTTTACAGGTAAGGTTTTTTCTAAATATATGTACTATATGGTTTAAAGATATTATATTCGATCGAAATCTAAATAATCTCTGAATTTTTAAAGTTTGAATTACAAGGGGATCTTAGTCAGAATGCCACTGAAACCTAGATAATTGTTTTGTCCAAGTGTGAAACTCCTCAGCAGTGCACATCCACGACAGTGCAAGCGGGACCCGGACCCAGGACCTTGAAATTACGCACGAATACTTAACCGCTAGACCACTAAACCGACATCCAACGGTGTTGATATACAGCTTCAACCAATTCGCTATAATGCGCAATCCTCATCTGTTGCGCTTGGTATGTAGCTGTCTCATACCTGGCACGGATCAAACAATAGTAATTGGCTCTGGAAGCTAGTTTGTGATTGTTAAATAGTCTCGAATTAGGGCAAGAAAGAGCTGTTCAATGTCTTTTTTCAACAATTCCACCAACTGATATGAATTCTTGAAGAAAATACTTCTATTTTAAAATTTGCACATTTGCTTGGAAATCTCAAGATTTTTCTGAATTTTTTGAGTGAACTAAAATTATTTGAGCGAAAGAGAAGGATTTGTGGTGTGTTTAGCAACCCCGCCTTTAGAAACAAAACTTACTGAAGAAGTTAGTTATAAAATTCATTTAAACCATCTGAATTCTACCGTGGGAGTCAGCGAGTTTTTATGTAGAAGAGCTACGAGACCTCATGGTAAAAGCCGAGATTCTCCAGAAATCACGAATCCAGTGTCTCTTCTGATAACCAGAGTTACAATTAATATGAAGTGTTTGAACAGTGTAAGAGACCGGGAGGGTCATTCAAATAGCGGCGGAAATGGGAAGATACAATATGACTGTGCTTTGAGTAAGTGAAGTTGGTTGGACACAATCTGGACAGAAATGTTATTTTATTCCGGTCTTTAGAAAGAAAGTGGCCCCCGCCACAACAACAAAAGGTCTTCCTTGCAGATGCCAGCAAGCTCAGTAAAACGTTTTTTTCACACTTTTCACCTTTTCTGTCGTTCAAGTTGTCATGTAGATTTAGCCTGGGGTTATTAGAAGGGTTTAGGAGACCGATTCGAGTGTCCAGATAGAAGACTTATCATAATTTATCAAACGTATACATTGTTTTGGTAGTCAGGTCATAATGAATCGTCTTATGCACACTCTAACTTGTGTATACTTGTAAATAATTGTCATTGATGGCATTCGATGATCTTTACTCTTTATTGCAAATTGACTGAAGCTGGTGCTGTACTAGCGTTCGCTTCTGAACCTAAAGGTCCTTGATTCGATTACTAATGGGGTCATTGTTGGGTCGGCTTCCAGAGAACTTCAACGGAGCCTCCAGAGGCCCAAAAGGAGCCGAAGAGTCCTAGCCAATCAGAGTGTGATGGAACGTTCCAGAATTCCAACGTGGCGTGCTACTATTGGTCGGTAGCATAATGTGTTGTTATCGGATTGGCTGTAAATTGATGTTGATTTAACAGACGCCAAAATCTATAAATACCCATGATTTTCTGTACAAAAATGAACCTTGGAATAAAGTGCTTTCTCTCGTTCTTGTGTCTTCTCTCTGGAGTTCAAGTCGCTGTGTAGTTCTAGACTGCGGGTTACCGAAATAGCTTAGGAATCGTATATAGCGTTCAACCTACACGACTTATCAGTGGCGACGGGGATGAAAACTTCAATGAATATTTCCTTGAAGCAATTAGAAGCTTATATGGTGCGTCAAGAAAAGAGGTTTGAAGAGTCCCATATTAGAATCATGGAAACCCTGATGCAGAAATTCTGCCTCTCCGAGAAAAACCCTGGTTCTAGTGAATCTCAAGTATCACATACTGATTCAGTCATTAACGCCATCCATGAATTTAATTTTGATGGTGTAGCAGGTGTAACTTTCGAGTCGTGGTTTAAGAAGTATGAAGATTTGTTTTATATTGATCTTTGCAAACTGGATGATGCTTCAAAAGTCAGAATACTTCTTAGAAAACTTGGTACTATGGAACATGAACGCTATAGCAATTTCATTCTTCCGAAGAACCCACGAGATTTTAGTTTTGATGATACAGTCAAAACCCTATCCCAAATATTCGGAGAACAATCATCTCTATTTAATATCCGTTACCAATGCTTAAAGTTAACAAAAGAACCAGGAGATGATTGGGTGAAGCACGCAGGAACTGTGAACCGAGAATGTGAGAGGTTTAGATTGTCGTCCATGTCTGAAGATCAGTTTAAATGCTTAGTGTTTATCTGCAGCCTGCGTTCACCCGAAGATGCCGATATCCGAACCAGACTCCTAAGCAAACTCGAACACTGCCCTAATATGACCCTGCAAGAAGTGACTACTGAGTGCCAAAGGTTAGTAAACTTAAAGCATGATACCTCAATGGTCGAAAACGGTAACTCTTTCCGTAACGTCAATGCAGTTAAGAGAAAAGTCTTTCAAGGTTCCAGTACCAATAATTTCCAAAATAACAGCGACAAACCACCATCTCCATGCTGGGCATGTGGAGGTTGGCACTATAAGAGTTTTTGCCCATATAAAGAACATCGTTGCAGCAAATGTCATCGGAAGGGGCATAAAGAAAACTTCTGCAGGAGAAGAGACTATAGAAAACGTCCCGTGAAATCTTACTCAAAGAAACACAGATATAGTGCTCCAACCAACAAGATATTGGTATCACATAACAGAGCACGAAGTTGCCACCAAAGAAAGTATGTGACCTTGAATATTAATAAACACCGTGCCCGTCTTCAGCTGGACACAGCTTCTGATATTACTTTAATCAGCCCAGAAACGTGGAAGAACATTGGGAGACCCACAGTTTTCCCAACAACACAGCTGGCACACAGTGCATCTGGGGGGAAGCTGAATATTGTTGGAGAAATACCATGCACTGTTTCTAAAGGTACGGTAACAAGAAATGCAACATTGTATCTTACTAAGAAGCCAGCACTAGACTTAATGGGGTTGGACCTTATAGAAACACTTAAACTAGCAGATCATTCTATCAACAGTATCTGCAGACGAGTAAGTACAGACAACATCCCAGAATGGAATCAGAAAAACGCCATGCTACAAAGACATCAAAACGTGTTTAGAGAAGGATTGGGAGAATGTACGAAAGCCAAAGCACTGTTAACTCTAAAACCTGAAGTTGCTCCCGTTTTTCGACCTAAAAGACCCGTACCCTATGCTGCTCTACCAGTGGTTGAACAAGAACTAGAACGACTTCAGAAACTAGGTGTCATTGAACCAGTGAATTTCTCAGAATGGGCCGCACCGATAGTAGTAGTAAAGAAGACTAATGGTAGCGTCCGTTTATGTGCCGATTACTCAACCGGGTTGAATGAAGCCTTAGAAACTCATCAGTATCCATTACCCTTACCTGAAGATCTTTTTGCTAAACTGAACGGAGGTAAGCTTTTTGCAAAGTTGGATTTATCAGAAGCTTATTTACAAATCCCTGTTGCTGACGAGTCTAAAAACCTGCTTACCATAAACACACACAAGGGTCTATTCCGGTATAATCGATTACCCTTTGGAGTCAAGACGGCCCCATCCATATTTCAGCAAATAATGGATACTATGCTACAAGATGTTTCAGGTGCTGCAGCTTACTTAGATGATATAATAATCATGGGAGTAGATAGATTAGACTTAGAAAAGAAGCTTGACCACGTGCTGACACGAATAGCCGAATATGGACTGCGACTTCGTCCAGAAAAATGTGACTTCTGTATGCAAAAAGTACGCTACCTTGGGTTTATAATCGATAAAGATGGAAGAAGACCAGATCCGGAGAATACTCAGGCAGTGAAAACTATGCCCAGACCGACGGATGTCCCCACACTACGATCCTTCTTGGGACTAGTTAGCCATTATGGAGCTTTTATTCCAAATCTTCATCAATTACGTGCCCCCCTGAATACCCTTCTGGTGAAGAATGTAAAATGGAGTTGGTCTGCAACTTGCAAAGCCGCTTTCGATGAAATCAAGAAAGTACTAGTCTCGGATCTGCTGCTCACCCATTACGATCCATCCTTACCCATTGTAGTGGCATCAGACGCATCAAACTACGGCATAGGAGCAGTTATTTCTCACATCATGCCAGATGGATCCGAGAAAGCGATATCACATGCGGCTAGATCGTTAACGTCAGCAGAACGTAACTATAGTCAGATCGAGAAGGAAGCATTGTCGATTATCTTCGCTGTCAAGAAATTTCACAAGATGATATTTGGACGTCAGTTCACCCTATTAACTGACCATAAACCATTACTAGCCATCTTTGGGTCGAAGAAAGGTATACCTGTATACACCGCAAACAGACTGCAACGATGGGCAACCACACTTCTGGGTTATGACTTCAAGATCAAGTACCAGCCCACTACTGACTTTGGACAAGCTGACGCTTTATCTAGACTGATTGGTTCACAAGTAAAACAGAAAGAAGACACTTTGGTGGCAGCAATCGAGACTGAAACAGAAGTACATCGAGTTTTGGAAGACGCAGTTGATGGTTTACCGGTTACTTTCAAGGCCATTAAAGAAGCCACGAAAATGACAAGACTTTAAGAGAGGTTAGTGGTTATCTTCTCAACAAGTGGCCGAACCGTCGTTTTCAAGGAGAAATGCTACAATATTTTCGCCGACGGGACTCACTTATGATGGTCGACTCATGTATTATGTTTGGCGACAGAATTATTGTTCCAGAAGTATTACGCTACAAGGTTCTGAAACAATTCCACAGCGGTCATCCTGGCATCAATAAGATGAAAGCATTGGCTCGAAGCTACGCATACTGGCCTACGATGGATCAAGATATCGAAAACAGATGCCGCAATTGTTCATCGTGCCTACAAGCAGCCAAAAGTCCAAGCAAGTGTGAACCGCAACAATGGGAAAAGCCGAATAGTCCCTGGGAGAGGCTGCATGCAGACTTCGCCGGTCCAATACGAGGAAGAATGTATCTAATCATAGTAGACGCGTTCACAAAATGGCCACAAATCTACGCCATGGTGAATTGCACAGCCGGTGAAACAATCAGCAAATTATCCGACCTGTTTAGCTGTTTTGGAGTTCCGCAGACGTTAGTGACCGATAACGGTTCACAATTCACTGCAGAATCATTCAAGCACTTCTGCAACGTTAATGGCATTGTGCACATACGATCTCCCCCGTATCACCCTCAATCGAATGGCCAGGCAGAGCGCTTCGTGGATACATTGAAGAGAGCACTTCTGAAAGGGGGAGGAGAAGGGACAACCGGGCAGGTGATCGCAAAATTTTTAACATCCTACAGATCCACTCCGAACCCGAATGTTCCAGACGGCAAATCTCCCGCGGAAGCCATGTTTGGGAGGCGCATTCGAACCATCTTCGATGCCATGTTGCCATCCAAATTAGTGGATGAGCGCAGTCACGGTCCAAGTATCCGAAACTTCAGTGTTGGTGACAAAGTTTACATCAAGTCCTACATCGGGAAGAACCGATGGGAGCCGGGCGAAGTAGTGAAAAAACTGGGAAGAGTACTGTACAGAGTTCGAGGAGCTTTTGGGACATGTATACGTCATACAAATCAAATCCTTAAGGATAAAAGAACGGTGCAGACTCGAAGTAACCGGCCGATTTTCCCGTTAGATTCAATCTTAGACGCACCAACGCCACAAACGCCCAGGAACAGTGAAAAGAAGCCTTGGACAAGGGAAACGACAAGAATAATGGGGCGCCGTCGCTGTCCAGTCGTCAAAATACAATTAGATCCCAGAAAGAAATCTTATTCGGGGGAGGTGTTGGGTCGGCTTCCAGAGAACTTCAACGGAGCCTCCAGAGGCCCAAAAGGAGCCGAAGAGTCCTAGCCAATCAGAGTGTGATGGAACGTTCCAGAATTCCAACGTGGCGTGCTACTATTGGTCGGTAGCATAATGTGTTGTTATCGGATTGGCTGTAAATTGATGTTGATTTAACAGACGCCAAAATCTATAAATACCCATGATTTTCTGTACAAAAATGAACCTTGGAATAAAGTGCTTTCTCTCGTTCTTGTGTCTTCTCTCTGGAGTTCAAGTCGCTGTGTAGTTCTAGACTGCGGGTTACCGAAATAGCTTAGGAATCGTATATAGCGTTCAACCTACACGACTTATCAGTCATTAGGTTTTATTCTAGGACGAAACAACTGTACAGTGCCCTCTTGTTCGAAATGGTACCTCAACTGAGATCAGTCTAACGAATACAACTTAAGAATTTACTCAATCCCTACAAAACTCCAACCATACTTTGAATAATCTATTCCCACCTCAAGTTATTTTGTCATCGTTATACATTGCTATTAATTATTCCATAGTTCTGAAGAATTCTTTGCAGTGGTTAGATGGTAATGATCCTTGATGTTAGTTCATGGAAGTGTTCTTTTGAGAAATTTCAGACTAGATTGCAAACAGTTATCCAATTCCCACCCTAGTTTTTTAGTAGTTACTTCACACTTCCTACGGTTAATATCAGTTTGTAATGTGAACTAATATTATTTGAATTGTTGGTTTTTAGAAAACTAATCAGGATACATCTTGTCAGCTTCATTATTCCCAGAAAGAAAATCAATTATCTGTTCAGTCGAATTTTTCAACCAAACAGAATGATAATGATGATGATAATAATAATAACGATGACAGTGATTGTTCAGTTTTTAGTGAACGTCTTTTAGCTGAAATTGTTGTAAATACTGGTGAAGTTTCACAAGATTTATTGCCAAATCCCAATCACTTCATTGATAGTTATTCACCTTCTTTATCAAGCAGTACAGATTCAGATGTTAAAAAAACTGAACTCTTAAAAAATGAAAATGATATTAATCTGTTACAACATGAAATGCATGAAAGTTCATCATCAGTTAAAAATTGTAAACTTCATATGTATACTCAAAATGATGTTCATTTAGAAAGTGAATCATACCAAAGTAGGCTAAAATTTGTCGTTTATCATCTTTTGATTATTTACTTGTTGTATACCAAATTAGTTTATTTCTGTTTTAACCCGAGCTCCCAATTTTGGGGAAAATTTCGCACATTTTGGGGAAATGGCACAAAAGCTCCAAAATTTCCCCAGACCTGGGGAAATCCCCAAAATTAGGAGCTCGGTAAATAACATTCTATTTATTTATTATTTATTTGCAATATAAAATGTCACAAACCTTTTCACTGATACTTTCATACCCGCCGAATAGGTTACTGGCTCTCTGAGCTCAGTAAATTATCAGATAATGTGTGCTAGCATTTGGAATAAAAGTTATACTGGGTTGGAGTCTTAGTGGCAATCGCCAATACTGGAGAAATGACAATAGATTGAAGTAATAGACGAAAGATCGCTTGTTTAATCAGTCAATATTGTTTTCGATTAAATCATCATCAGGCTTTACTCTAATATACACTAATATTTATATGCATATACGAAATTATTAAACCAATCAAGACAGTTTATGAGTCAATGATAACAATGGAACAGATTACATAAACAGGTGAAAAGTACAAATTAGTACTGTGGTGACAGGTGTGCTAGTTGTGATAAGAATATTAAGGAATTCACTTGGTATTGTTTGGCTTGTATCTTCCGATTGAAGTTTAAAACTGCGATTGATCAGTCTGGTATTGGCATACGTGCATACTGTGCGTATGCCTCGATATTGCCTTAATTCACAAGCTATTTGTAAGCGATGATGGATAGTGGCTAGTCGTGGAATCCAGGACGCGCTTCTCGTCCTATGCACAGTATGCACATATGCCAATAACAGACTGATCAATTGCAGTCTTAAACATCAATGGGAAGATACAAGCCAAACAATATCAAGTGGATTCAAATTCACCCCATTGCACAAGCAAGTGACTATCAGGACTCAGTAGCTGAATGGATTACGCGATGGTGTTTGAAGCGAATGGTACTGGGTTCGAGTCCCAGAGTGAACATCAACTCTGAGATGTAGGTACATCCAACTGACGAGTCCCAAATAGGACGAAACGCGCGTCCTTGATTCCACTGCTAGCCATTATCCATCACTGCTTAATGATAATAAAGGCTTGAACCAATGTTACATAATTGGAAATAGGTCAGTGATTAGAAAAAATATAGACACTGAAATCACATTACGTAATAAGAAGATTTCATATAATCGGAACGTGAAACGTACATTTGGGAGAAAAAATAAAATAGTAGGAGGCGGTGAAGAAAAAAACTATAATAAATAAAATCATTTATCAAGGCCAAGGGAAAGATAAGAAGGGTGTTACAAATTTCTTATGAACACAAAGACTTGGATTGTTTACTCGAATTCCTATAGCGTCTGATATGTTTAAGAGACGAGATCGAATACCATAAGGAAAACTAATAGGAATACGATAAATAAGTTTAAATGACTTATTTCTGTATACTACATGACCACTATCGATCAAGTGTGGTAGAACCGAGCTACGTATTGACTTGACAGAACCTTTTCCTGACCACAAAGGGAGGTGTTCACTAACTCTTTTGTTCAGTTGTCTGGTAGTGTGCTCAACATAGCCTTCTCCACAGGAGCAGCTGAATTAGTAAATACATATAGAAGTGGCATAACCAGGTAAATTATAGTTTAATTGGGGAATCACCATAGATCGGGTCGAGTACGATGGATAGACAGCCTATAGACTGACTAGAGCAGTGAAGAGAACGTTTAATGCAGCCAACTTCTGTCTCTTCAATCATAAATCTCTGATGTGTAACACAGTTACCCATACGTTAAAGGATTTTCCGGCACAACTTGTAATACCTATCATTTCTTTTTCTTTTACAGTTTTACAGTCAATGTCTTTCTAACTAAATAATAACACGATTTTGTGCTCGGATTCCTTTCATACGTTTGATTTCAATTGTAGAAATTCAGAAAATTTATTGTATGAGGTTTTTGTTACACTGAATAATGGATATGTGCCTTCAACCTCATTGATTCTAAGATCACTTCTTCTGTTATATCATTTTGCTGCATGACATATAGTCTATATGCTAAAACTAAACAGCTGAAGTAGTTCACTTTAAGTGCATACATTCAATTGTCAATACACTGTGTTGTATTTGAGGATAAACATGGAGAATGTAAGCATTAAGAAATATGCCGAAATTACCCAACTTCTATTTAGTGATAAATAAAATGAAACATTTTCTCGAATTGTAATAAAACATGCAAAGATTAAGCGATAAAAGAAGCTTACATTAAAATAAATAACATTTGACTTGTTTGTAGAAAATCATCGATTTCATGGTGGTCCCCCTTCACCGATTAAATAGTTATTTCTAACAGTTGAGATCATGAGTCAATTGAAGCTAGACCACCATGGAAAACCTGGAAGCACTGGACGGCTGTTTCGTCCCATTATGGGACCCCTCAGCAATGCGCATCCATGACCCCGCCCCGCGGGGTTCGAACCCAGGACCTGTCAGTCTCACGACGGGCGCTTAACCAACTAGACCACTGAGCTGGCCAGCATCCGATGGTGTTAATGTCTAACTTCGACTAATCCACGAAATTGAGCGCCACTGTACACCATTGTCATCACTGAGTTACTATCACACAACCGATCCGGTTGAGCCCCACTGGTCACTGCTCATGACTCATGATCTCAACCATTAAGATTACTACAATCTCCACAAAACCCCTTCTGAAATAATTAATTATAAATAATACAAACAAGTTTCATAGGGTAAATGGTTAACAACATCTACTATATGAAGTTGAATAATAGTGTGAGATAATAATAATAGTTGTGAGATAGTAACTCACTGATGACTATGGTGGATGCGTCGCTCAATTTCGTGGATTAGTCGAAGTTAGACATTAACACCGTCGGATGCTGACCAGCTCAGTGGTCTAGTTGGTTAAGCGCCCGGCGTGAGACTGACAGGTCCTGGGTTCGAACCCCGCGGGGCGGGGTCATGGATGCGCATTGCTGAGGGGTCCCATAATGGGACGAAACAGCCGTCCAGTGTTTCCAGGTTTTCCATGGTGGTCTAGCTTCAATTGACTCATGATTTCAACTGGTGAAGTTATTTTTAGTTGACTTAGTTACACATTTCCGTACTTATTTATTTTGTACATGGTTTAAGCATATGATCACGCCTTATAAGGTAGCACCACTTCCCTAATTCGTCATAAGCTTACTACATAGTCTTTCCAACTTTTCTATTGCAAATTAATTATTTTTGTATGAGACACTTTTGTACACATATGTAGTTTATGAATATTCTTAAGTTCTTGAAGTCACTGAATTCGATATATAGTTTTCTGCTTGTTGTACCACACTTAACAAACCTTTAACCATGTTTAAATGCATCATCAACCTAACTATTACTCTGTTAAAGGTTAACTGTGACGTTGACAGATAGCACGGCATTTGTCAGTCATGATTAAATGTAAAAGTGGTTGAACTACTTCCTGAAGTAAAAAACCATGTATTTTTTTCTACCGTCTCCGACACAACATCTTTTCTATTATTGAGGCTGCTTGTTTTCTTAATTGTTGTCTAGCAAAAAAATAATCTTTCTTCAACTTACTGTAAGGAAGCTGTTTGATGAAATACTTGTCTATTTCTTACTCTATGTTAACTAAAGTTGAATATATCAAATAATTGAAAGTAATCTACCATCATAACTCATTTATATTGTTCTCTTTGGAGGAGATTCCACAAGGCATTCCTTAGACCCTAACAGAATGCCCCTCAAATGATTAGTCAAGATGTAAAGTATCTTTTGGCGTCACGGAGAGACTTTAGCTACACAACTATTAGGATTTCTTTCTATGCGAGGCTTAAGGCTTTGATTTCCTACCGCCGGTATGGTAATGGTATGCGCACTGATAAGAGGTCGCATGCTAGAAGAAATATAGCTATCTAGTGCTCTCTGACTTCCAATGGTCGTTTGGTTATGATATAAACTTTAGTCAAGTTGAACACTTTCCATAAACCTTTCATCCTAATGAAAAGAGATACTTTTCTTAACTATCTAACTAGGATATCTCTCAAATAATGTTTATCATTACAGGGATATCTTATGATTTTCGCCCATACTTTAAATAATGAATGCAGTGTAAGACCAAATTATGTTTTACTTTTTTTTAAAGATTCATCAACCACAGAATCTGTCAGGAAATCTAAAGGTTATATGATTGATGCTACTCCATTGGAATTGTTGACTAAATCGATTAAAAATCATCTTTCATCTAGTGATGTTGTTTCTGCTACTCCTATGATCCTAACAAACGAAACAGCTTCAACTCCTTTAACATACAATCGAGCAAACATCCTACTTGCACGAGACTCTGATCCAGGTTGTATTGTTCAATCAATGGATAATCATTTTGGACTGACTATTCGTTCGTCTACTTGTTTGTCTGCTGAAGAGTCAGTATTTACTATTGAGGAGAGTGATCTCGTGACAAGCAATGCAGCTAAAAGGTATTTTTTAAATTTTTTTTTCAGACTGGTTTCTGTTTGTTATTCTGAATTATTCAGAGCTATTTTTTGTAGTAAACAAAGTACTAAATATACTTAGACCAGTTAAGGTAAGGTAAGGGTTAGAGTGCTATTGTGAGATGGCGACATACAAATCAGACATCTCTCTCACTCCATTGATGGATTGTAATTTATGTCAATGAAGTATCATCCTGTCCCATTGATGGATTGTAATTCTTAGTTGGACTTTGTGTATCTGAGCTCAATTGACGCGTAGTATCGTGATCTATTATTATATAGTTTACTAATCAAGTGGTCTAGTCTCCAGTCTATTAACTCATATCCTCTAATCTTCCATCTGTGTGATCGTAAGTTTCAACATAACTTTCCTCTATATTAAATTTACATTATCGATCGAGTTTACTGCCTTCATATATAACTCGCGTTTATTACTTTGTTATTCAGGAAGCACTTATTTTCCTGATAGATTGGACGTTTCTACTTATCACGTACTATTGTTTCTTTTCTAGCATAGATGAAACCAGTGGACCTGAAAAAAATGAACTAATTCTGAACGGGTCAGCTGTTGATTTAAATAATAATAATAATAATATAATAATAATAATAATAATAATAATAATAATAATAATAATAATGGGTTCACTTCAAATTCCGATCGTCAATCTACAATTCAACATGTGAATGAATCAGTAATAAGTAATGATTCCTTGCAAATTGTAGTTGATGATAATTACGGTTCAAGAAAATCACGAATATTTCATGGTATTTGTCCAGAAAAAGAAGAAAATATACAGGTAGGATGCTTTATGTTTTCATTTAAAATAAGTTTTTGTTGTTGGAATTTGTTCAGTTCAATGGCATATTTATTCATTATGGACCGCTGACATTATCTGGTAGATATTTTATTCATACATGAGAGTGAATTTTTGGGCATTGATCTCCTACCAGGAGGTCCACTTATCAACTTACAATACGCGGATGATATAGTCCTGTTTGATGAAGACGCTGATAAAATGGAGAGTGTTTTGGTAGCACTAAGTAACAATGCCAGAATGTTTGAAATGCGCTTCTCTCCCTCTAAATGCGAGTTGTTGCTCCCGAACTGGCCTGCATCAACACCTGAACTAAGGATAGGGAGTGAAGTAGTCGAACTCGTTGACAACTTAACTTATCTTGGCAGTCTGATCAGCCCTAATGGGTTGGTGTCTGACGAAATCTCAACACGGGTTCGAAAAGCTCGTTTGGCTTTTGCCAACTTGTCCCCCTATGGCGAAGGCGAGATATCCGTCTATCGATAAAAGGACGAATATACTGAGCAGCAGTTCGTTCTGTTCTAATTTATGGCTGCGAAGCGTGGCCATTACGGGTAGAAGATACTGGAAAGCTACTAGTATTTGACCACAGATGCCTTAGAAATATTGCTGGCGTCTGCTGGGATCATCGGGTAAGTAATAGTGAGATTAGACACCAGGGTATTAGGGAATGATGGTAAATCAGTTGATGAGGTTGTGAATCTTCATCGACTGAGATGGTTGGTCCACGTGTTACGTATGCCTGAACACCGATTACCACGACGTGCAATGCTATCCGGTATTGGAGATGGTTGGAAGAAAGTTAGGGGCAGCCAAACCAAAACGTGGCATCAGTGCTTGAAGACACTAACTTCTAGTCTGAGCCATGTTGGGAGATGCAGACTACTTGGTTGGAGTCCGCGTGACTATCGTAACCAATGGTTGGAGACTGTGAGTGACATGGCTCAGAATTGATCACAGTGGTGTTAGTGTATACACTCTTTGTCTTTCCTCGAACCGTGAGATCGAAATTACTTTTCAGCTTTCTTTCTACGAATTGACTTCCTCCTTGTATCATATTCTTATATACAGTCTTTATTTTATATACTACTACTATTGAAGTAACTACTATGAATTTGGTGTTCATTTTGTTGTGCTAACGAGTTGTGAAAACTTGGACCGATGTATATATGTGCCTGGTTCTACGTTGTAGCTGACTTACTGACTGAGATGTCTAGTAAAATTGCCTTTATATATATATAATATTCCGTAATGTTGACTCCTTTTTGTTATCCTACTTGGTAATCATTAGTAAGGTATAACATCGGTTTTCAAGAAATTGATACTCTCTGGTGGGATTGAACCAAAGCTACTCAGTTTTACTGTCTAAGAGATACTGTAATGAACAGAACACGGGTGGGAACAAGCGAATCTACTTAACACAACATTACAGAGCATCTCAATAAAATCTGAGAACCATATATCAAAACGTTAATTTGCAAAATGTCCACCAATTGTTTCAAAAATGCCTCAGACTTCATTGTCCTTGCATTTTCATACAAATTGCATTCTATTTCCGCTCTTGCTTTTCCCATCTTCTGCTGCCAGACATTACATTCCTAGCTCGCGTCATATACTACTTATATTAATATAAGTAACAATCACCACAATACTACCACTGAGCTATTGAAACATTTACTGGCCTCCTATAGGATTTAGATATTTAACAATAATTAATTATCACTGATTATTGACCAATTTTATGTTTGTCTAGTTCTCTTTTTCTTTTGTTATTGTTTTAAATATTTTTCTGGTGGAATCAACTAATTTGTGTACAACAACAACTCCTACTACTACAATTATCAATAATAAGAACGAACATTGTGGCTTGATCACTGTTAACGATCATGATATTGTTTGTAATAATATTACAGTAACATTACAGCCCTTAGAAAATCTTCAAATTTTCATTATGGTATACAAAATCAAGATGATCAATTTCTTAATAACAGTAGTATATCTAATAAAGATCAAAATATTCACAATGATTCACCTTTTAAAACTAATGAAGTTAGTTTTATAATTTTTATTATTGTCATAGCTGCTGTTTTATCAGTATTAGGTTTTTGGAGATTATTAAGTTATTGATCGAGATCTTGGACCGATTGATATTAAACCACCATTGAAAACCTGGAAGCACTGGACGTTCGTTTCGTCACATTGTGGGACTCGTCAGCAGTGCGCATACACAACCCCGCTCGCGGGATTGAAACCCAGAGCCTTCAGTCTCGCGCGCGAACACCTAACAACTAGACTAATGAGCCGGTCGGCGTCCAACGGTGTTAATGTCTTACCTCAACCAATCCACAAAATTACGCGATCATCAACCTCATTACAATGGAAGATGGGTTCGAATCTCGCGGGGTGCGGGATCGTGGATGCGCACTGCTGGGGAGTCCCACAATAGGACGAAACGACCATGCAGTACTTCCAAGTTTCCAGTGGTGGTTTAACACCAATTGGTTCAAGATCTCAACCAATAGCTGCTGTTTGTTTGTTGCTGTTGTTTTTTTCCCGCGGTTTTTCTTTACATCTCTTCGATTAGTATGCATTTTCCTTCTAACTATTCATTGTTCAAACGATTACTGTCTTCGGAGTATATGATTCTAGATAAATATTTAAGTTTAAGTAAAAATTTCTCCGCAAAAATCATTCCAATTTTTGCCAACCCAACCCAAATCTATTAAATAAATCATGGTTGTACAAGTACGATATTGAACTTGAATAGCAAAACAACAACGTAAGTGATAAGGTTTAGAAAGTATTAGTAAACATCTGTTTCATCCTTGTCTGGTACATCTCAACATTGCTTGTTCATAAAGCAACGGTATTCAAGTTCTTTTTGACAAGCTCTGTTTTTTTAATTCACAATGCCTCGAAATTGCCTTATATCATAAGCGTTATAAACAGAGATGGATGGTGGCTTGTAGTGAAATTCAGGAGGTTATTTTCATCTTATTTGTAACTCGTCAGCTGGATGTACGTGCGAACGGTACTGGAAGTAAATGCCAACTCTAGGATGCAGTTTCATCCAGCTGACGAGACCCAGGTAAGACTAAACGCACGTCCTTGATTCCATTGCTCGCCACTAAACCATCTCTTTTTATAATACACATTGTTGGTTATACTGGTTGATAATTAATATGTGTCAACGTTTTCTATACATGATAGTTGTTTAGTTAATGAAATAGCTTTAGTTAAAATTAATTGAAATAAACTGTGGTTCTGATAATATTTTAATGACTTCGATTGAACTAATAACCATGATTAATTCACAAGAATATCTGAAACTACTTATGTAATATATGGTAGTAACATATACGGTTTTCTCAAAAAAATCTAGTGAGTTCAACTAGTATATATGTGGTATGGTTCTCGCTAATCACATTCATTATCTTTACAATAAAGCATAATTCTTCAGAGAAGAAGGCTGATATTGTTTTATCTCAAGAATGGGGATCGGATATAATTCATACTGAGATTTTGTCTGAAAAAGTTCAATATAACAATCTTATTAATAATAATATTAGGAAGAAAAATACTAAATCCAGTTATTTTACTTCATCAAAATGTAATATACGGGGTACAGATTATAAAACAAATACTATTACAAAACAAAAACGGTGTAATTCGAAGCCTAAAAATCAGCTAAGTATGGAGCAATCTGTTGAAAGTCCTTTACACACTGAACAACAACGATTAACTGTCTCAGAACTGGCAAAACCTGATATACCCCAGTCAATACCTTCATCTAAGTGTGATGTTACTAGTGAGGTTAGTTTTATACTCTTTTTATTTCATATCGCTTTATATTGTTAGTGAGGTTGAATTATGTGATCAATAAAATGTATAATTAAAACAAATGATTATAGGTAAGATGTTGCATTGTCTGTGCTAGACGGTGGTTTGATTACAAATATTTCGTTGTTTTTCTATTGGAGAAAATCACTATATTCATGCTTTCAAACCAATACTGAACCGGATCTTAAATGTTAATAAAAGGGTGGGGGAGGCAGCTATCACTCACTTCATGAAAGGATATTTCTTCTTGATAAACCTGAAAATAAAGCTGTTATTAGTGATATGTGACCATGACTTCGAATCCCACTAGACATCTGTTTAAGATGGGTCGCATATGACCTTTTTTGCTAGTTCTCGATGTATTAGTTCCATAATCTTGAGATTTACATCCGGCGACTGAAGTTCATATGTTAAATTGTTTGTTGTTCGTAGCGTTGTATTTCTCTAGGATCTCTGGAGATCCTGATTGTCTGAGGGAAATCTGTTACTGTTGTTACACTCCACTACAGTAATCACTGCAATTTTTCCTTGGGATCTTAATTTTTCTGCTTTTCGTCTTACCACTCACCAGTCGACCTACCTGATGTTCTAGGATATGGGAAAACGTAATCCAAACAAAATAGGTCGATAAGGTTTCTTCGACCGTCACATCAAGGTACCACCTACGGTCGGTTTCCAATAATGCGATTGTGTCGATTACTATGGTACGAAGTTCTTCGTTGTTACTGACTGACTGACTGGATCTAACCTAATTCATTGATTTGTAAATGTTTAGATTTTCCCATTGTTAATGTTTAGAATACGATTGATCAGTGAATTATTATTTATTGTAAAACATATTGAGATTGATAAATTGGGATGCGTTATAATCTTTTATTGTACTTATATTATCACATATATTATGCATTCGAATAGAACAATCTACAACTAGTCTTGTATGAATATTAATTATAAGTGTTTGTAATGAATTATGAATAACAGAGAGTTGGTCGATATTCTGCTAATAGTTTAGTGAAATATATTAACATTTATTTAATTGTCAGCTTGGAGTTGTTGAGATTGTTGAAATTCATTGAAATCACGAACTGATTAAGTTAGACAGTTATTGAGTACCTGGAACCACTAGATGGTCGTTTCGTCATCAATGTACATCCACAACCCTGCACGCTAGAGTCGAACCAAGGACTCTCGGTTTCACATGCAAACCCTAACCTGTTCGGGTGCGTTTGTGAAAATTTTACGACCCTTCGCTGTACAAGTTACAAAAGTTTAAAATCGGAGACATCGTGATGGCTGACAATATGCATTGAAAAGAATGAATATTATTCAGATGTCGACTTCTGAAACATTCATATCTAACTGGCAATCATTCAATTTTATCGTCAATATCGATCGAGAAATAGGTAACGGAAGCTCGCTGAAATACCTTGTACTCAGAACTCTATATTGTACCCAAAATATAATATTGAATAAAGCTAGTAATAATGATAATAAACCGCTGAACCAGGATCCAATTTAACTGGTTTCGCTTAGTATATTGATTTTTTTTAACAAAGATTATGAATGCTAACAATTTAAATTTTCTTCTGTTTTCTATCTCAGCGATCTCAATTAACACCTGATGATAATGATTGTAAACTTCGTCGTTACATTGAACAATGTTCATTATTTCGTTCCACTAGATCAATCCGAAATCGACCTTCTGAACGTGTTACCAATTGTACTTTACCAGGTTCTTTAGGTACTGTAAAGTTTCGTAGTCGAAAAAATAAACAAAAGTTCACATCAGTTATTTCATCAATTCATTTAGATAGTCCTAATTCAGATTCGGAACTACAAGATTGGAAGTGTTCATGGTCTCTTATACATCATGATAATGATGTCAATTGTAATACTAAAAAAGTTACTAATCAATCAAGTTATAATCGACCTCGTGCACCACATATTCCTAGTCCATTACATTTATCAGGAAGTATTTTAAGCGAAGAACCTTCTCAATTATTTGATGAAAAATTAGAACAAATGAAAAATGAATCAAATATTTCTCCATCGAAAACAAATAATTCAGCAATCAAAACTATCAACAACAATATCCATAAAAATAAATCATGTATTTTAGAATCTGCTGTCAAACTAGCTGGTTTTGATGAATCACCGGAGAATGTAAGTTACAATATAAAATTCTCTGTAATTACTTCCTTACACCTATTACCCCTCACGGAGGAGCGTAAGCCGCTCATCAGCATTATCCATCCAACTTTGTCCTGGGCAATCTTTCCCAGTTACTATCTATCCTTTTCTTATGTGCGTCCAATTCTCAAAGCAGTGTTCTTCGACCTTCCTCTTCTTTGTTTCCCTTCAGGATTGTAAGTTAGGGCTTGCCTCGTGATATAGCTTGATAACTTCCTCAATGTGTGTCCTATCTACTTCCAGTCGAACGGCTCTCGTTCTTGCTCTCAAATCTTCTTGAATAGAACATGGAGCATGTTTTCAGTTGCTTCTATCTCTGGTATATTGTCAGATCCTCCTACTTTCCCACTCTGTATTTACTTTATTCTAAACCAATAATGTACTTGAAATCTAAGATCATGACTGGACGAATGGCATATTAACCTAGTTTGATCACCTAGTACCTTAATATTGCACTTCTTTAAGTTGCTCGACTATCTTGTAGCATAAACTCCTTCTGTCGAAAGCTCAGGAAATGGTTCTCCTAAAAAGAAACCAATTGCTTCGGTCTAAGGGTCTGAACATTATCAATAACCTACACACAAATATGACTAGCCTCGGCAAATTCTTTCCATTTTGTTACATATTTAGAGATTAACTTAGTTCTTTTCCAACCACAGAATTGTTCAACCATTTTGATGGCTTAGTAGATTATAATTCCTTGTCTTGTTTTTTTTTTCCAACGGATAGTATCATCAACTTTTATGCATGAAAAAGGTATACTTCAAAACCGAATACATAAACTTTCTATTACAAAGGTCTATATTTTATATTTTCCTATCGTCGTTTGATGAGAATATATTCACTGTTATTGTCTCTTTCAAAATTTACCATCTATTTTTCCCCTTCAAATTTAGGATCCTTTAGTGAAGAATATATTAAATAATGGCGAACGCCTATCTATACCATCATTTTCTGATCTTACACCTAATTCATTTAATGCTAAAATTTGTATCGAAGCAAAAAGCAATAATGAACAACAACAGTTTAGTCCATTATTTCCTACTTCTACTTTACCAATAACATCGTTGTCTGATGAATATACATCATCACCTGTTTTAATGAGACCTAAAAGAAACCTGAGAAATTCATGTACAACTAGAAAAAGAGCATTCACACCGCTTACTACTACTTCAGCAACCAATAATGGTGTTGATAATGATGGTAAGGATTGTCTAGTTTACAAAAATTCTAATAATAATAATAATAATAAGGTAGGTAGAACTAGGAAAACATTATCATCTATACCCAAAGAAAATAATCTATCATTGCCTACAGATAAAACAATTAAACAGAATTCGAGGAAGTCAAAATTTGAAGTGAATAATAACTCTCTTGAAATGCCTATTCGACGATCTACACGACTTATTGTACAGTCTGATAAAAGTTGTAATAAACCTCCCTTTGCTGTTGCTTCAACGTTGCAGCATCATATACCACCTATTGTGAGTATTCCAGAAGATAAGTGTAGTAGTAGTAGTAGTGGTAGAAGGACTAGGAGTAGCGCTTTAATCAATTTAAAACCAGAAAATACCGCAAAAAATCAACGAAAAAGACGGATGACAACATCTACAAATGAAACGAAAGAAGAAATTCTTAAAATATCAAATACTGATTTCAATAATACTTCTTCAACATCTACTGGATCATCAAGAACCAACACTGTAAGTTTTGCTTGCAATTTAAAATATGCTACTTGTTCTCACTTAAGTAGTTATTTTCATTGACCGAAACATTACAAGATGCCATCTCAGTATATAAGGAAATTCTTCGAAATCAATGAGTTTTCGTTTTGATTAATAACGAGTATTTTAATGGAATATAGTGTAATGTAATTGGTACTATTCAACTCATCTGATTCATAGGAACTTGTAAACGTGATGTATTTTCCTATCGTTTAATCATGTATTCGGTCATAAAAAAACTTAAGTTTTCATTGTCAGTCAGTCAGTTAGCTACAACGTGGGATCAGGCACATATGTGCATCGGTCCAGGTTGCCATACCGCATCAGCACAACAAGATGAACACCGGATTCATAGCAGTGGTTAGGTCAGAGGTGGTAATATATAAGAGAAAGATTGCATATAGAGATATAGTACAAGAAGAAAGAATTGGTTCGTAGAAAGAAAGATATGAAGTGATTTTAATCTCTTAGTTTAAGGGAAGACAGAGAGTGTATACACCTACCCCATTGTGATCGATTCTGAGCCATGTCACCAAGAGCCTCCAACCATTGGTTACGATAGTCACACGGACCCCAACCAAGTAGTCTGCATCTACCAACATGGCTCAGACTAGAAGTTAGTGACTTTGTGGACTGATGCCACGTTTTGGTTTGGCCGCCTCTAACTTTCTTCCAACCATTTCCAATACCGGTTAGCATTGCGCGTCTTGGTAATCGGTGTTCAGGCATACGTAATACGTGGCCCAACCATCTCAGTCGATGAAGATTCATTACCTCATCGACTGATTTACCATCATTCCCTAATACCCTGCGTCTAATCTGTCATTTATCCCATTCTTCTTAACCAGCTTTTAGTCTGTCACTTATCGTCAATGTATTATCTTTAATAAATGTGTATCTGTACGATTTGTTGTACATTACGTCAGCACCGCAAGTAAGGTATTCGTGGCCCTGTGTCTGATTCCGGTTAAATCATATCCTAATTTTTGTCGAAATATGCATGCTACCAATCCTCATATATTTTTATCGACTTAATTTGCATTACGGAATAATGGAATAAAATAAGTTGAATACGAGAATGAGTTTTGAATAAGTATATTTTGCACAGCTACTGATCCAAACAAACAATCAGAGGAACGAAGTGACACGCAGCGGTAAAGACGAGTTAGCCAATTCCATTTGATCAAGCGCGACTCAATATTTATAGTCAGATAAAAATAATCAAGACATGTAATGAATAGGATGAACAATTAACATTCTCACGGTCACTTAAGCGTCGCCCAAAGGCCATCCATAAATTATGGTCTCACTCTTATTCTTTAATAATCGATCATCACTTCAAACACCGATTCGTTCTTAACTCTCGCGAAAAGGAGACATTTTGTCAATAATAATAATAATAATAATAATAATAATAATAATAATAATAATAATAATAATAATAATAATAATAATTTTATATTCTATTCTCCACAGACTAATTCCATTCAATTAGTATTCAGTGGTGTTGAATCTTCAAGTTATTCAAACATTCTAAAAAAACTGAATGCATTTGAAACAGAAGATCCTACACTTGCTGACTATTTAATTACTGATCAAATTAAACGTACCTTAAAAGTATTATATGCTAGAGCACGGGGTATACCAATTATTTCAGTGGAATGGTTAAAAGCATGTAAACAATCTCGTAAAGGTTCAAATCCAGGTAAATAATAATTCATCTCTTTTTTTCTTTATGTTTATGCTTAGGTTTGTCATTTCATATAGCTATGATAATTTGTTATTTCCTAGTTTAATTTTAAAAAGTAGCTAACATTGTAAAATTCTGGATGTGCATTTTCATCCCAACCATTGTTGCTACCTTGACGTGGTGATGGGGCTTGCCTATCGTGATTAACCAATCGAGCTATACTGGCTGGAACAATCTTTCCTCAAGGTCCTACCATGTCAGACAGGTCGGTTGAAGAGTGATAAGACTAAAAGCAACAAACCCAAGGTTCGAAGGAGAGGTCGTACTGCTGACTGTACAGAGGTGTGACAGCAGTAAGGCGTTTCCTTCAGACAACCAGCATAACAGCAATGCTTCCTTCCCATGAGGAGGGGTGGGGTTAGAAAATATCGACCCTAAAAATGCACATCTCGCCTTATCCCACGAATATCCGTCTCCGGTGGTAATTTCTCAACAAGTACGGAGGTAACACGAAAATTATCCACCAAAAGGTCATGTGTGACCGACCTCAAGCAGTTGTCCGTTGGGCAATGCGGTCAAACTCTCAGGTCACTAAGACCACCTCTACTCCGACGATAGTATACGTGTTCTTCACTTAGTTCAGAAGAATAATCTACTATCTTATCTTAAAATTACATGCATACTATATCGATTTCTCCACTGTATGTTTGACAGCGTTCCCAGTCAACAGCGTACAGCTTTATCTCTTATACACATTCGTTATAAACTTCAATAGTTGACAATCTAACAATGCGTATTCGCTAATCTCATTATATATAAGTAATATCGTTTTTATGGTGTACGGTTCTATTCAGCTGCTATTTACTTCCTTAATACTTGACTCCAGCTTAACCATCCATCGGTATTAGATTCAAATAACATAGGAGTCTGCATTATTAAAAAGCCTGAATAAAGTATTTATAATCAATGTGTATATTTATAGTTCCTGGTTAGCGTTTTTTTAGCGAGTTAGTTTTCTACGTGAATACAGTGGACATCTAGGATGCAGTTAGACGATCTAGACTTCGCAGATAATCTGGCACTTCTATCCCAAACGCAACAACAAATGCAGGAGAAGACGATCAGTGTAGCAGCAGCCTCAGCAGCTGTAGGTCTCAATATACACAAAGGGAAAAGCAAGATTCTCCGATACAACACAACATGCAACAACCGAGTCACACTTGACGGAGAAGATTTGGAAGATGTAAAAACCTCTACATATCTAGGCAGCATCATTGATGAACATGATGGGTCTGATGCAGATGTGAAAGCGCGGATCGGTAAATCAAGAGTAGCATATTTACAGCTGAAGAACATCTGGAACTCAAAACAACTGTCTGTCAATCAACACCAAAATCAGCATTTTCAATACAAATATCAAGATAGTTCTACTGTATGGCGCGGAAACTTGGAGAATTACGAAAGTCATCATCCAGAAGATACGGGTGTTTATTAACAGTTGTCTACGCAAAATACTTCCGATCCGTTGTCCAGACACTATCAGCTACAACTTCTATGGGAGAGAACAAACCAGATCCCAGTGGAGGAAGAAATCAGGAAGAATCGCCGGAAGTGGATAGGACACATTGAGGAATGCACCCAACTGTGTCACAATACAAGCCCTCACATGGAATCCTCAAGGCCAAAGGAAAAGAACACATTACGCCGGGAAATGGAGACAGACATGAGAAAAATGAACAAGAATTGGATGGAATTAGAAAAGAAGGCCCAGGACAGAGTGGGTTGGAAAATGCTGGTCTGCGGCCTATAGTCCATTAGGAGTAACCGGCGTAAGTAAGTAAGTAATATTTATAGTTAACCTAAGAATGAATCAAAACAGGATTATTTCACCAGTTGTCGAAGTTAGGCAATTAATCCAATCCAGTTGTACTATTCCTTACGTACAATAATTTCAACTGACTTGTTAACCATTTGCTTTTGTTTCTAGTTTATTCATTGTTCTATTTTAAAATTTCTTTATGATTTCTTTATGTTCTTTTATGTAATTTCAACATGGAATTCCTTCAATAAAATTCTATGCTCAGATCCACTTAATTTTAAATTACATTATTATAATACACAGTCTATGCATACTACAGTTTCAAGTGAACAGTCTACACGATGTCATTCCTCATTTGTGATGAAATTATCTACAAATGAACAAATAAACCAATTTGAAGAAACAAATGAATTCTTATGTGGTTGGTCTTTTTGTTCAACTCCAAATGTTTTACCATCTTCTATGGATTTACAAAAACTTACACAGTTTGCTGGTGGTTATTGGATGTCTGATGAAGATTTATGTAATGCTATGAAGAATTTGGATGATGTAGTAAGATTCTTCTTATTTTTCTTCATTTTTTTGTTAGTATTTTCGTTATTGCTAAGTATATTGCATAACAGTTCGTTCTGTTTTATCTTAGAACTGTGAAATGAGATCTTCAAAGAAAAACAGAGAATACTTATAGCCTGTTAGTAATTTGATCAAGACTCCTTTGAAGCGTTGCTCATGAATATTGTATTCATTAAGTTATCAATTCTGAAGTTGAACACAAGTTACACAGTAAATATGAAGTGATTAGGGCAAGTGTTACATATATCCAAACACCGCTTATCCAGACGAGGGATATTGTCTGATCTAGTAACAGATTGGAAGGAAACTAGAGACACTCTAACTAAAAGATTGGATCAGTTATGAAGTCATTGAATTTTAATCTGTTCTTGTTGGGGTGATCCAGAAAATTGCTTGCAAAAGACAAGCAAGCATCAGGCAACACTAGGAAGCGCTTCATCCAATCAGCATTCACTTGAAGTCCTAGCCAAAAATATCAAGGAAGCGAAACGTCGCGTGCAGGGGCTCTGATTGGTTGGCTGCTCTGCTGCTATGTTTAGTAGCATTCTAGAATCTTCTAGCAGCCTAAGGACATTTAAAATGTTATAAAAACCCTGTATTTCCTGTGTTGAAATGAACCTTTGAAGTAAACTACTTCTCGCATACTTTGAGTCTTCTATCTCGTGTTCAGGTCGCTGTATAGTTCTAGCTTGGGGGTTACAGAATAGCTTAGGAGACCAAAATAGCGTTCAGTCCCCAAGACTTATCAGTTCTATATTGGTCAGTTCAGATTACTAGGTTAGTGTGTCAGATTATCGTAACCAAATGGTTGATGAAATTAGTTCACATGACTTAAAATCGGTTTCAATGGCATAGACACATTTACTCTTTATCTCCTTTTTAATATCAACTATACAGTTACTACTTCTATTAATCTGGGTTTTGTCTTGACAACTTTTATCTAATCAACTGATACACACACATATGGCATTTTCTATGTTGCTTATCACTGACTTCTAATTGTTTTTATACGATCAATTACGAAATATGTAATTTTCAGTCACTTATACCTATAAAACACTGATGAAATGGAGACTTAATCGATAAAATTTGATAAAAACTTAAGTAATATTATGTAATCAATTCGTATGAAGATTTTATCATTCAAATACAATAACGATTAAACACAACTGTATTATCTAAATTCAACAGTTCCTACTTATGATGTCATATTACTTACTTACGTACTCCTATTATCCCTCGAGGAGGAGCATAGTTCGTTCACTAGGATTCTCCATCATCATATGTATTAAGAAATTGAATATGATATGTGGGCGAGAATGATAATGATTGGTTGTCTACTTAGTCAGACATGTAGATAGTCTGACAGGTGTCGGATGAGTTATGTAATCCCTTATCCTTATTATTATAATGACACTTACTTATTATTGATTGTTCATTGTTGTTGGATTGTGTCGGGTTTTTAGTGTGGAAATATATTTACGTTGCGGTCAGGCTAATCACGTGTTCTTGATCATCTGAGTTGTGTTGAAGTCCTGTAGAATAGACACTGGGAGGGAATCTAGTGTAGATAAGGTAAATTGACGTCCCATACGTGTAAACGTTGGAAACTCAACCGTTATAACATTAGACAAAGTAAAACCGAGCGTTATAACAGAATAGAACATTATAGTTTCATGATTATCATCTAATTTCACTGGTTGAAATCATGAGTCAATTAAAGCTAGACCACCATGGAAAACCTGGAAGCACTGGATGGCCGTTTCGTCCTAGTATGGGACTCCTCAGCAGTGTGCATCCACGATCCTGCACCCCGCGAGATTCGAATCCAGGACCTATCAGTCTCGCGCCAGGCGCTTAACCAACTAGACCACTGAGGTGGCCGGCATTCAACGGAGTTAACGTCCAACTTCAACCAATCCACGAAGTTGCTCCAGCGTACACCATTGTCTTCAGTGAGCTGATATCTCACAACAGTCCTGGTTGAACTCCACAGGTAACGACTTCTCACTAGAACTCCAGGAGTGTCTCCTGAAGTCAGTCACTAGTGAGTAGGTGATTATTATTATCAGGATGGGTTTTGTGGAGATTTTTAGAAATTTCACTTGTTAAAATCATGAGTCGATTGAAGCTAGACCACCATGGAAAACCTGGAAGCACTGGACGGCCGTTTCGTCCACGACCCCATACCCCTCGAGATTCGCGGATGTGCACTGCTGAGGATTCCCATACTAGTATCATTATTGAACTATCGATTTGGAATTCAATGATCTGGTTAAGAATAAAACCTTTCATAAAGGTAACCTATCGTGTGCATGAAATGATTACTTTTTATGTTTGTTTTTGTCAACCAATTTTGTATTAGTATGATGTGAGTATCAGCAAGAGAACCTATGAACCTCAGGAAGACATAATGTGTAATTGACAGCTATTATACAAAGATTCATTTCACAGTCATAATAAGAATATTCTTTTAAATTTCGATTTCTCGTTATGATCTGACTTTCTTTTCCCATGGTAATCTCTTTTTCTCTTTCTTACTGTTGCAATTAACTAGCCTATTAAATCAGTTATTATCACAACTAAAGAAGAATATCATTCTATGTTATTGTTGAATTCAAAATCATCTTGTAAAAATTCCCGACTTTCAAGAAATTCAAAAGAATGCAAACAAACCACTCCAATTTTACGCGCTTTATCTTCATTAATTACAGTATCTACTGATTGGTTCTTACAAACTATTATGAATCGTAAACCTCCAAATTGGCCTATTGATTCACAATATAAGTAAGTTTCAATTCGATTATTCTTTATCACTGTTTTATTACATATTTTATAGTCAGTCAGTAACAACGTAGAACATCAGTTCGAGTTGCCATACCACATTGACAGAGAGACACAATTGTCGATTCAAATCCCATAGTGGTAGGGTAGAGGTAGTAAAAGTATAAGCAGTAATCGGAAACATTAGGCTTTGAAGATGTTATTCAAGGAGTATAATCCAGTGAAATAAATTTGCAAAGAGGAAAAATAAAAGGACATGAAGAATTCAGAAGATTAGAATTTGGGAGAACACAAAGAGTGGATGCACCTGCGCCATTGCAAACGACTTTGAGCCATGTCATTCAAGGTCTCTAACCATCGGTTACTATCATCTCGTGGTCCCCAACCAGGTAGTCTACACCTACCAACATGACTCAGTTCACTTGTCAGTGACTTCATGAACTTGTGTCATGTTTTGGTCTGGCCACCCCTAGCTTTCTTCCAATCTACTCCTATACAACAAAACATTGCACATCGAGGCAGTCGGTCGTTGGGCATACGTAACACGTATCCTATCCATCTCATCATATCTTATGTATATACCATGTGTAAATTATTGTAGTTATATCTTCCAAGTCGGAATAATTGTTCATTGAAAACGTTTTTCTTAACAAAATATATCAGTAATTATATATTCACTGCATATTTTTCATATAAGTTTAAAACAATTAAACTTATGTGTAAGGGATTTATAGAGATTATTAACCATTTCACAGTTTACAACATGAATTGAATTCAGCTAGATATTTATTGAAAACCAAGCAACATTGGACAATTGTTTTATTCTATTACAGAATACGTTAACAGTGCTCATGCTATTACATCACCGGTGATTAAATCCAAGATTTTCAAATCAGTCTGTCAGTCAGTCAGCTACAACGTAGGACCCGACACATTTATGCATCGGTCCAAGTTGCCATACGTCTTTAACACAACAAGATGGACACCGGATTCATAAAAGTAGCTAATTCAGAGGTGGTAATATATAAAAGAAAGATTGCATATAGAGATATAGTACAAGAAGAAAGAATTGGTTCGTAGAAAGAAAGATATGAAGTGATTTTAATCTCTTAGTTTAAGGGAAGACAGGGAGTGTATACACATGCGCGATTGTGATCGATTCTGAGCCATGTCACCAAGAATCTACAACCATTGGCTATCGTAGTCTCGCGGACCCCAACCAAGTAGTCAGCATCTACCAACAGGGCTCAGACTAGAAGTTAGGGACTTTGTGGACTGATGCCACGTTTTATTTTGGCCACCCCCAACTCTCTTCCAACCATCCCAAACACTGGTCAGCATTGCACGTCGTGGTAATCGGTGTTCAGGCATACGTAACACGTGACCCAACCATCTCAGTCGATGAAGATTCACAACCGCATCAACTGATTTACCATCCTTTCCTAATACCCTCTGTCTAACCTCACTATTACTTACCCGATGATCCCAGCAGATGCGAGCAATATTTCTGAGACATCTATGGTCAAATACTAGTAGCTTACGAGTGTCTTCTACTCGTAATAGCCATGTTTCGCTGCCGTAAAGTAAAACAGAACGGTTTGCCGCGCAGTATACTCGTCCTTTTATTGATAGACGGATATCTCGCCTTCGCCATAGGTGACGTAAGTTGGCAAAAGCCAAACGAGCTTTTCGAATCCGTGTTGAGGTTTCGTCAGACACCAACCCATTAGGGCTGATCAGACTGCCAAGATAAGTGAAGTTGTCAACGAGATCGACTACTTCACTCCCTATCCTTAGTTCAGGTGTTGATGCAGGCCAGTTCGGGAGCAACAACTCGCATTTAGAGGGAGAGAAGTGCATTTCAAACATTCTGGAATTGTTACTCAGTGCTACCAAAAGACTCTGCATTCTATCAGCATCTGTTCAGCCGTTCTTCATATATCTTCCATACTAACAATGATTATAGGTGTATATACATCTTGTTGGGAAGTTTCATATGTAAATGAAGCAGAATCATTTCACTTTTAATGATTAATTAGCTAAAGTCATTTCATGAAATAAATCACAAAATTATCAGGGATTCTCAGTGTTTTGTTCATGTGTAAATGTTAGTCATACAAAATCATACTTTCTTTTCATTTGTTTACCGTGGTCTTTCTGTTTGCCTACTTTTTACAGGATACAATGAATCTAATTCTCTCAAGTCATTATATATATAGCTCTCATGCTCCTAAAGGAAGCAGTCTCACCAGACGGGATATTGTGTACATGATCAACCCTGTTCAATTATCGTACTCCCTGCTACTACTACTACTAATAATAATAATTGATATATTCTTAATTATTGTCACATTTATTATCTGAATAATTTGCCTACTTTTGCATTGAAATCATGAATTAATCTAAGTTAAAACACTATTGAAAACCTGTAAGTACTGGAAGACTATTTCGTCTTAATATCGAGACTCTTCGACGGTGTACATCTATAATTCCACATATAGGATTTGAATTGAATGGTGGGTTAACTTACAACGGTTTATGATTTCAATGAAAGTTAACAACTTCCACAACCTCATATTGAAAATCGGTTACTTTCGTTTATTGTATTGTTTATTTTATTATTCTCAAATACCTGTTTGATCGTATACTTTGTTGTTTATGGATTGAAAGAATCAATGAATTGTTTTGCTTTATTTTATTTCAATAAAGGTTCATAGTTTATTTTTAATTTTCGAACTTATAAATAGATTTGGTTGAGACATTCCAGTTGGTTGTACACTAACAACTGATAAATCTTCTGATAGGCTCTTCTAATAACCTCTGACTAACTCAACACGACAACTTGAACACGAGAGAAAAAGCGCGAAATATAGAAAGAACTCTTTACTCCAATGATAGTTTATGTACAGAAAATTTAGGGTATGTATGGCATTTCAGATGGCCTTGGGCTTCTGGAAAGTCCTGGAACACTACTAAAAGTAGTTGCAGAATAGGCAATCAGAAATGTGACATGTGAGTTTTCACTTTCTATTCAATTTTGATTGGATACAATGTTTCCCAGCGAATTCAAGGCTCCTTTGAACTGTTTTAGAGGAATTTTCTGAGTATCTACAACACAAAACATTCCACCAGTAAGACTTTATATCTTGTTGAACTGCGGGTATTTCAGTCAGTCATCTACAACGTAGGACCAGGCACATATATGCATCGGTCCAAGTTGCCATACCTCATTAACACAATAAGATGGACACCGGATTCATAAAAGTAGTTAGTTCAGAGGTGGTAATATATAAAAAAAGAATTAGTTGGTAGAAAGAAAGATATGAAGTGATTTTAATCTCTTAGTTCAAGGGAAGACAGACAGTGTATACACCGACGCCATTGTGATCGATTCTGAGCCAAGAGTCTGCAACCATTGGTTACGATAGTCACACGGACCCCAACCAAGTAGTCTGCATCTCCTAACGTTGCTCAGACTAGATGTTAGTGACTTCAAAAACTGATACCACGTTTTGGATTGGCCGCCCCTAACAGGCATTTCAGTGGACACTATCTTCCTGTTGATTAAGATAAATTGTGATTTAGCACAAATAGGACTCTATAGATTCATTCGTAACCATTCTAAAATTATAGTCGAAATGAATAAACGAATGATCTGTGCTAATTAACTCAAAGTTCGAATCAATTCTTCAATACAATTATTCCAACGATATAACAGTATAATTTAAAATCCAGAGTCGGCACATTACTGTCTAGTTGTCCAACAGTTTAAATGTTGATTTCCAAGTGACTCACGTCATGTCAGATGTGGAAGGAGACGCTAACTGTATTACTGAGTTTTAATTTCATACATAATTAGTTGTTTTTTTAAATTTTAATATGCGTTACTAGTTTTTCTCCCAAGATACAATGCTGGCCGGAGTAATCATAGGTGCAAAGAAATCAGGTGATGGTCAATCAACGACATAATGTCTGTTGTATCCTCGTGAAGATTAGATTACGGGTAACTTCTGAGGACTATTAATGAACTAATATTATATATATATTGTATAACTGTGCAGTAACTAGATTACGTATATCTATATTCCTCTCATTATAAACTTTCATTTGACTTATACTTACTCCTGTTAATCCTCGTAGAGGAGCATAGGCCATACACCAGCACACACCATCCAACCCTGTCCTGGGCAATCCTTTCCAGCTCTTTACAGTTGATATTCATCCTTTTCATATCTGCTCCTATTTCCCGACGTAATTTGTTCTTTAGACCTCCTCTTCTCTGCTTCCCTTCAGGATTCCAAGTTAAGGCTTGCCTCGTGATGCAGTTTGATGATTTGTGTAACGTATGTCCTATCCATTCCCATCGTCTTTTCCTAATTTCCTCTTCAGCTGGAAGCTGTTTTGTTCTCTCTCACAGAAGGCTGTTGCTGATGGTATCCGGTCAATGGATGTTGAGTAGACAACTATTTATAAATACTTGCACTGTTTTGATGATCGTTATTGTAGTTCACCAAGTTTCAGCTCAATACAATAGAACTAATTGTCTCGACGTTCATATTGTAGATTGTGACATTTGATATTAGTTGAGAGTTGTTTCGAGTTCCATGTGTTCTTCAATTGTAGGAATGAAGCCCTTGCTTTGTCGATCCTCGCCTTTACGTCTGCATCTGATCTTCCTTGTTCATCGATGATGCTTCACAGGTAAGCGAAGGATTCTATATCTTCCAGAGTTTCGCCCTCAAGTGTGATTGGGTTAGTGTTCTCGGTGTTATATTTGAGAATCTTGGTCTTTGCTTTGTATATGTTGAGGCCTACTGATGTAAAGGCTGCTGCTACACGAGTTGTCTTCATCTGTATTTGTTCGAGTGTATGGGATAGGAGAGCTAGGTCATCTGCGAAGTCCAAATCGTCTAATTGGTTCTGAGCTGTCCATTATATGCCATTTTTTCCTTCAGATGTCGAGGTCTTCATAATCCAGTCGACCACCAGAAGAAAGAGGAAGGGGGAGAGTAGCTAGCCTTGTCTGACTCCGGTCCTTACTTAGAATGCATCTGTCAGCTCTCTTCCATGCACGACCTTGCACTGTAGTCCGTAATATGAGTTCCGGATAATATTGACAATCTTCTCAGGAACTCTATAGTGTTGAAGGAGTTTCCATAACGTTCTCCTATCTACACTGTCAAATGCCTTTTCATAATCAATGAAGTTGATGTACAGTGACGAGTCCCACTCAATTGGTTGTTCGACGATGATCCGTAGTGTCGCAATTTGGTCTGTACACGACCGATCCTTACGGAATCCAGCTTGTTGATCTCGAAGTTGGGCGTCTACTGCATCTTTCATCCGATTCAGCAAAACTCTGTTAAAGACTTTTTCTGGTACTGACAGTTGTGTGATGCTTCTCTAGTTTTCACATTTGCTCAGATCTCCTTTCTTTGGAATCTTGACGAGGTGTCCTTCTTTCCAGTCCATCGGCACTTGTTCATCCTCCCAAATCTTTTTGAATAAAAGGTGAAGCATATTTGTAGTTACTTCGATGTCTGACTTCAGTGCTTCAGATAATATATTGTCGGGTCCTGCTCCTTTCCCGCTCTTGATTTGTCTGATGGCCATTCTGATTTCTTCCGTAGTTGGTGGATTGACATCTATGGGAAGATCTGTGTGCGCTGATTCGATGTCCGGTGGATTCATTGGAGCTGGCCTATTCAGGAGTTCCTCGAAGTATTCTACCCATCTGTTCCGCTGTTGTTGAATTTCAGTGATTGGCCTGCCTTCTTTGTCCTTCACCGGTCTCTCTGGTTTACTGTATTTCCCTGTTAGTTTCTTCGTTGTATCGCAAAGTTGTTTCATATTTCCTTCCCTTTCAGTTTTTTCCGCTGTCGTTGCTGGTTCTTCCACGTATTTCTTCTTGTCAGCTCTAATGCTCCTCTTCACTTGCTTGTTTGCTTCTGTGTATTCAGCTTGTGCTTGGACTTTCTCTGCTCGTGTTCGGTTGTTGTTAATTGCTACCTTCTTGTTCTTCCTTTCTTTGATCTTGTCCAGAGTTTCTATAGAAATCCACTCCTTATGATGGTGTTTCTTTAGGCCCAGAACGTCTTAACACTTTGAAGTTGATGCTTCTTTGATGCCTTTCGAGTTGTCCTCCATAGTAGTTTCTTCTTCCTTCTGTAGATCTTGTAAGGCTTGGAACCTGTTGTTGAGAGCCATCTTGAATTCACTGAGTTTGTCAGTATCTCGAAGGAAGGCTGTATTGAACCTTTGTAGTGCTGTTTGTCCAGTTGTCCAGTTCTTTTTTAGCTTCAGTTTTAAATTGGCCACAACTAGGTGGTGATCTGAAGATATATCAGGTCCTCTCCTGGTTCTCACATCTTCCATTGTCCTTCGGAATTTTTTGTTGATGCAGATATGATCTATCTGGTTCTCTGTAGTGTGGTCCGGTGAGATCCATGTAGCTTTGTGTATACGTTTGTGTGGAAATATTGTGCCTCCTATGACCAATTTGTTGAATGCACACAGATTTGCAAATTCTTCTACATTTTCGTTTCTCTCACCCAGTCCATGTCGTCCCATGATATCTTCATATCCGGTGTTGTCTATTCCAACTTTGGCATTTAGATCACCCATCAGAATGGTGAGGTCCTTTGTTGGGCACTTTTCGATTATTGACTGCAGCCGCTCGTAGAATTGATCTTTGATGTCGTCGTTGCTATCATTGGTGGGTGCATAATATTGGATAATATTCATTGTGATCCTCTCCTTTGTTTTGAATGATCCTTTGATGATTCTGGATCCGTGAGATTCCCATCCTACAAGTGCATTTCGTGCCACTTTGGACAGCATTAGAGCAACTCCCTGAGTGTGCGGAGCATATTCCTCTTCGTGACAGGAGTATGGTAGCATTTCTCCTGTATTTATCGTTTGTTGTCCAGCTTGGGTTCAGTGGGTTTCGCTGATTCCCAGTACTGCCAAGTTGTATCTCCTCATTTCCGTTGTTATTTGACTGGTCTTCCCGGTTTCCCACATTGTTCGAACGTTCCATGTACCTATAAAAATTTTTGCTCTGGTTGTTAGAAGGGGCATCGGCCTCGTGGCTTCCGAAGGAACTCGGCTTTCACCATGAAGCGTCATAATCCTTCTAAATGAAGACCTTGTAACTCTCAGGGCAGAGTTTAAATGGTTTGAATTATT